TAATTAAACTTTCGATAAAAGTGACATGGTGCCTAATTAAATTAAACATATTAAATTGTGTGGAATTTCCTACTAAAATCTATTTTCTAAATCCACGTACAAATAACTAAAACAATAATCAATAGATATAAAATTCCCTCTTTTTGTAGCAAAAATCCGTTTTTTTTCGTAACTCGGAAGGTTTAGGGAATCTTAAATTATTTACGAAATCCTTCGTCTGTATATGTGATTATTACTTATGAAATGAAACAGGATTGCTTTCTTTGCACGTTCTATTCAATTATACGCACAACACGATTTCACGATGTTTAACAAATAGTCCAATAAAATACAATTTAAGAAGACTCTAGACATTTAAATAAGGTAACTTGAGCCTAAAAAACGTAAATTTGCAAAAATACACCTTCATACACCATGCGACAGCACGAAAGAAACCTCCAGAAACACAGTGCTCTGTAGTTTCGCATCAATGTTTTGCCACCCAGAGAGCCCTATCTCTGTCCCACTGTGTTGACAACGCGCGCCTCTCTCTAAGTTACTTCCATATAATATTATTTCTATGATCTAGACAGACAGACAGACAGATGGAAACGGGAAACCTACTTTTTCGTACTCTGGAGGTCATAAAACCCTATAACAATATTTTCTTAGCTTGCGCTCAGGAAGTAAAAATAGATATAATATCAGTCATAGTGTAACAAAAAAAGTGGTCCATGGGGCGATTGAACCCTCGACCTTCACATTATTAGTACGACGCTCAAACCACGGCACACTATTTTGAATTTTTATTACGAAAATCCGGGCGTAGAGCAAACAATCAAGGCGGATTTATAAACCACAAATACAGGGAGTATGTTGTTTTATAAAATTTAAATAGCATGCACCAAGGAATATTTTGTGATGTAATAAAATTGTGCGGGGAATCAAACAAACTTTGGTAAACGCGTACCTTCTGCCTGATATACCTAAAGTATCTATAAAGTTTGACAACATTCAGTCCAGTATTTTTGTAAATTATCTCCCACAGACGACGGACAGACGGAAGGGGAAGACCTATTATTTCAGGCTAGAGGTCATAAAATTGATCGATCCTATCATTTTTGTAGTTTAAGCTAGGTGAAGTACAAATTAAACTTTTTAGACGTAAATTCTGAATAAACGAAGCTAAAATTTAATGACTGTTTATTAATCTAAAAAAAATCTGTTCATAGCCAGGTAGGAAAAGCACCTTTTGTATATGAGAAACGTCAAAAAAAATAGAGTATATTACGAAAAATGAGCTTAATTTTTATGCAAAACACTTGTTCTAATGGTGATAAATTTATTAAAATTCCATAGTCTTTTTCCTGCAAATGTTTGTTTACAGGATAATCAAATTTTTATATTAACACTTGATAACCGATTAACCGCGATAAGTGATAACCACTTAAATCACTGCGGTGATTACATTACCAGAACAACAATTTTTATCTAAGTTTGTTATTTTTCCGAAACAAAATCAACTTGTTTGCGATTGATATGCTGTGATAATAAAATAATGCCAATTTTCCCTTGAATGAAATTTCTAAAATGTCGATAACCTCACCGGGAGCATGTGCATGCGTCACACCTTTTCATCAGAATTTACTTGTTTATTCTCTTTAGGCGAAAGGAAACCGGTTGGAAGTAGACTAAATATTGATATAATTTAACAATAACGCAAGCCTTCATTATTTCTCCGTTAAATACTAATTTACTTTTATCATTAAAAAAAAAAAATGAGACAGGGTATATTCAACTTGGTAGTTGTTATATCAATATTATAATAAACAATAATAATTCCGTAGCATTCGTCGCCAGAAAAAGATATTTCCATCAAACCGAACAGAGGAAAGAAATTTGAACTTTTTTATTAGAGGGTTACGGCAGATAATAATATTGACCTACTTTATGGATTTGGTTACTTTGAGATGATCACAGATAAAATTGTGAAAAGCACATTAGCACAGTATTCACTGTGTTGTCGTCTTCTCATACATTATTTGTGCCTGTTCAAATTATGAAAAATTAGGTTATTGAAAAAACTCTGGCATTTTTAACGCGGTATCGAATTATAATACACTAAATTGAGTTGTTGTTCTTAACGAATTTGATACGATATCTCTATGCACACAAACGATTGTTTGCCTAAATTAAAATAGCTTAATGTATTGGCAAACTTGCTAAATATAGTTATTACCTAATGAATTGTTTTGAGAACATCATATATCACGGAAAGATGATAGATGGATCTTTTACATTTACTTTTTTGATGCATATTATTATTTACTGGCATTATGTAATTTATTTATTATTTCTATAAATTAAATTTAAGCTATTATTCTGAAAGAAATAATAAAACACCGGGCTATCAGTTCCGGGAAGTTTTTATTTTGTCCTTGATGTTTTTTAATATTTTAATTTGTTTTTGAGTCTTAAATAATAATTAAGTAAAACTATAAAAGAACCTACAGGACAAGGTTTAGTGACAATCAGTGTATCGTTATAATTTAAAATAAAATAGAGGTGGGACCACTGCACAACTGACAGATCACAAAAGTGATTTGTAAGGTTATGTTTAAGCTGATTATGTCAAACTGAATACAGTAGTGCCACCTAAAGTTTGACAAGAAACAACAATTTTTAATTCGTTGTATTTTTGAGCAATATAAAATGTTAATTAAAAAATTTACACCACTATGGAATATAACAATAAGAGCTACGGTGAACATTATCTACGGCGTACAAACCATTTCAATTACTTCCTCTTTCGTTAATTAAAAACATGAATAAGCAAAACATGGAGTCTTTAGCTGAATGGTAACACAATACACAGGATTAAACAACTGTAGTTTTGAGTTTTAGCTGTAAATTAAATCGTAGCATTTTTGCGATACAAGTTATCTTATGAAAAATCAACACCGACACTTTATAAGCTACAAATGTAAATTTAATGGAAGAAACTCAGTATCAGATGCAATGAATGCACAAATTTAATGTACTGGACTTCCTGTCATTGACGATGTCCATATTGAACCAGTATTAATAACATTTTCAATGGATTCTTTGATCCTAAAATGATGGCGGTCTGTTTCTAACACCACCCTTTAAAGCTTTAACTTATTCGGTCCGGATCTGAATTTAGTGTGACACAAGCGGCGCCATATCTAAAGATAGCTTTATTGAAAATTATTGTACATACTATTTTGCACGTACATTTTTAGGAAGTGCTTGTGTGACGAACATACAAGTAAGTGATAATTAAAAACCACAGAATGTACTCGCACTGCGTGAAGTCTATTAGTTCTGGATGTTTTATGTATGTTGTCGGCATGATATGCGATCAAAATAGTTTTAAATAACGACTTTATTTTGTTCGGTGACATTAAAGGTTATGTAAATGCTTCTAAAACAATTCATATAAAAATTTAATGTTTTTGGTAAAATAAATTAATATTTAATAAATAATAAATAATTAATATTAAAATAAAAATCTATAGCCTTGAGAAATTGCCATATTGTGTTGAATTATTATAATTTGCAGAAATAAAGTCACCAGGTGTTTACTGCTATTGATTTAGTAGTAGCTGAGATAACATATTTCATATCCATCTACCGATAAATGTTTGTATGTACAAGAATTTGTGGCTGTTATGATTATAAATCATTATGTGTATCAAGCTAGCCTGGTGAAGAGGTACCCCAAGACTTGGTGTTAAGTCCTCTGTTATTTATTGTTTTGTTGTTATAAGAATGGAATTTTGAATAACATGTATAAAATTTTACACAAAAAAGAACATCGGAACTCACTTCACACTGTTTAATAATTAATGTGGCGCTAAAGTATTTCAAAAATAGCGCCACAATATTTTTATTACAACTTGCTACAATTAGCGTTTTCACTGTATATTATACTAAGATAAGAAATGGCTGCTGCATATTGTATGAACTAAGTAAATAGATGTAAATTATATGCGCCTTTCGGCCCACCAACACTAAGATAATATCAGCCGTTTGAATATTCAAGCAAAAGAGTAAGTTTCAACTAGGAAATGGGACTTTTTCCACTACCTAAATTAATAGTCAAACATTTCTAACACCAATGAACAAACCAGTAAACGAATGAAAATGCGCCCAATTTCCATACAAACACCAACAATACTTTGGTTTGCTTTTTCTAAAAATAATTTATGTATATGTATTACGTACATTTAAAAATTTGTAAAATGATTTATGCAGAACTTGCGTCCAATTCGATGCTAATTTTTTAAAGATAAGTGTGTTTTGTAGTATCAAAATAACGGTAGAAAAAATTTACATTTGAAATAAGAGGTTACTGTCGAATTTTGAGAATGACGTCATACATCTTGTGATGAACGATTGAAACAACAAATCTATCCATACATTAATTTAGAAAAATAGCTTCAGAGGTTAGTTTTGAGATGACGTCATGAATTTTCCGAATAGTCGAACAAAAAAATTTTGTAATGCTTAAATTAGTGTGGTATCTGTCCAAAATTGCAAAAAGTACCAAAAGGGCATGCCATGGTACACATTTCAAGTGACAACAAGACATATATTAGTTATTTTCTCTTTCGTCATTAACTACTATAATTGATTGTTGTAGAAATAATCACCATATGATCGTCTAATAGTAAAGAAGTATAAATGTTCTGTATAAAAACGTGTTGGAACATTTACCCTACATTCTTAAAATATTAATTTGTCCAAATGTCAAGAGACCACTAACTAGTATTTACATAAATGTCAACAGACACTACAGCGGTAGCGTTATTCCCCAATTTTGAGTAGCGTGTCGGTGAAACAATCAATACCTCAAAGCCAACATGGCACCTAAGCAGCACCTACACGTGCCAGTCACGTGCCATTAACATGTGCTCATTATACTTGTGCTAAAAGACACGACGAACTCTCATTAAGCTGAACTTTGCAACTTGTAACTAATCCAGGTTATTTTTCAGTTCAAGGTAACATCCGAGTAATCCGAGGATGTGGCTACATTCCGGACGATCGGGACGACAAGGAGTGTGTTATGAGAAGTGGGACACATGATGTTCATGTGACATACTGTTCCTGTAAACATAACCTTTGCAATACTGGAAATTTCCAGTCTAGTCCATCTAGGATAACTTTAGGAGCAAGTATTTTGGTAATAACGAGGTTAATCCAGATGGCATAACTGTAGAACGAATATTAAAAGGAACAAAATCATATTTTGTGAACACACCTTAAAGTAAATTATTTTGGTAAAGGTTACACGCACAACGTTCTGTTCCGAAATCGATGAGTTATTTTTGGTCTAAGATGTAAATAATGCAAAAGGTATCTAAGGTTGTCGACAAAATATGAAAACAACAATACGAGAGCCTATTCATTACCGGATCTAATTTACATCTTTTAGAGATAAGCGAAGTAACTATATTTTGGTTAGTAAAGGGATAAAAGGAGTCGAGATCCTTCCGAAGCTAAGCTTTTGTAGATATGATAAAGATTTTCATTATTACAGCTAAGCTGCAAATAAATTAGGAGGATGACATAATTACCTGTTAAGTGAACAGGTTTTGTCCATTACGTTAGTGTAACATAGTGTTAACTGTAAACTATATAACTCTGGGTAACTGTATAACTCTAAGAAAAAATAGAGACTGCCATTCGATTTGTGTTAATCAAGACGCTTCTCCAAAAGGCAATAATTTTCATCTTGAGCAAAACATTGGAGAGAATGTACTAATAACGGTAGCTACCTCTTAAATGATCAAACAAACATATCTAGGTAGTAGAAGAGGTTTTTTTGGAGAAGAGTCATTTGATAGGGTTAAAATGTGCAATTCAATATCGCAACGCTCTGCAAATGAAATTTCTGTTGAAAGTCACATGTATGTCGTACATTTCTACATGTTTTTTAATGAAAAAAGATGAAGAATGTGTTTAATATGCGTGAAACACTGCCAGTTTGGCCTGAAGTGCCATAATAGTCATCGCTTGTCCGCTAGGTTAAGTTAAAAAAAAGAAAGTCGTCTTATGAAATGTAATTTATTAGAATTGTTGACATTGCACTAGATCTATGAAATTGTAACTACGCTACAGTGTGTTGGAAGATTTATTTGTACAAGACTTCACTCTCTAACACGGGCTCATTCCTTCTACACCTGACACTTGCTGTTGATAAATAAATTTCCAATACACTTTATTATGCCTTTTGAAAAAAGAACGCTGTTTACTTATAATCATAAGTGTATTTTAGTGACGTATTATTTTACTAAGTACAAAAAAGACGGAATTTTATTAAATTGAATAATCTATTTATTATAAATGTATATAAAATTTGTTTCATAAATGACGAAATTTTAAAAATTATGCATGTTGTGAATAAAACATTTTTTCTCTCTATTTAACAGAAGGGATATTTTAAATATAAAAGATGTTAAATGTGTTTCTCGTGGAAACTGACTATACAGTGTATATAAGGATATAATATACAATAATTGGATCTATTTCGGGTCGTATTTTTTAAAGTATTTATTTTTATGTTGGAAAAATGCTGTGCACGCTGCTGTTTGTCATTGTACATGTTCTGTATGTCAAAATAGATTTCAAAATAAACATTGTTTCACTCACGAAATGTTTTCACATTATTTATTCACTGACCCCGGCGCCTCCACCAATACGTACCTTTGTTTCTTTACTCCAATCCGTGGTGGGAGAATAATGGTGTGGCGGATAGTTGTCGGAAATGCACATCTGTGCGCGCATGACGTCACGCTAGGAGCATAACAGGACAGAAATGTCGAAGAAAATACTCGTGAAAGCTGCCTGATTAAACCAATGAGTGCGGATAATGACGTTTGCTTTTCTCAGTCTGTGTTAAGAACTTTTTTGAAAAACATACCAGATGTTAATGAAACGTGTGAAGAAGAAAATACAATTTTACGTGCATTTGACAACTCTCAAATAGATGTGACTTCTGTTGATCAGAGAAATGACTCTAATTCAAAAATTTTGTCTTCTAATAACATTATTAGCTATGAAGGCTTAAAATATGTAGCAGGTTATATTGCACATAGGTTTAGGGATAAATATCAGAATTTGGGAGTTCAAACTCAACATTTATTCTTTGATCACACTGCACCGGATTGGCTGCAATTTATTTCAAAAGGGCATTTAATGTATCCAAGTTCTGATCTTCTTAAAGCAGCAACAACGATGGAAACTGAATTTCATATTTTCCATGGAGATTCCCTGAATAACGAAACTTTAATATTTAACAAATTAGCCAACAAAACAATTGAAAAAATACCAGATATAAATATTCCATATGAAGTCATTCTCTGTCTAGCTCGAACTAGAACTTACATACGACTGAAAGAGTTAAACAGAAAAGTCCATTTTATAAATAATCAGCGAAAATTAAACCGAAAAATGTCTAAATTTACAAACGCAAAAAAATAATGTAAAATGACTTTATGTTTAACATTTTAATAAGAACATTTTTACATAATAGTTGCCAGAATTTTTAATTTGTACCTTACTTTGTTTTAATGTATATATTTTTATGGGTATCTTATAATGAAACCATATATTAATATAAAATAGAAAAACAATAAATTTTACATTTAGTAGTTACAGTCATTCTACTTCACACAGTTTTATTCGCTTTTATGTAAGTTGTCAAATTTACATATCCATCTAATTGCGACTGCTCAGTTTGCAATGGATTAACACGGTCGTTTCAAGCAGGTCTTTTGTATCTTGTGATCAGCAAATGACAAAAAACAGTACATATTGTAGTCTATTAAAGTTATAAAATAAAGGATTTGCAGTAAAATATTGATATACGTTCTTTTTCATATTTTAAACAGGTACGCACCGTGGTTGCTTATGATTGTTTCTGCAGGGTTGCTCCGAATCTGACGTCACACGGCCGAGAAAGACAGAGCTAGTCATGCGCACCGCCACACCATTATACTCACACCACGCTCCAATCCATTCAATTATTGGCTAAAATTTTGTGGTTTGTATATGGTTCATAGTGATATATCGTTGTTTTTGTGAAATCTTACATACAAGGGGTGAGTTGTGTTATTCAGCTGTTTATAAAAGGTCATTTGGTTGTATAAACAATTTTCTCACCATTTAAGTGTGATTAATATAAGGTAACTTTTGTAATCATAAATTTGCTGGATGGATCATATTTAAACAGGTTGTCAATAATACATAAATGTATAAGACCAATGACAATTACTCAAGCAGTTGACTGAAGTTCTGTCACATATTTTGTAGTGAAGGCTAATTCGACATGGCATTAACTTCCAGTCTAAATTTAGGACGATTATGAATTTTACCATGGAAGGGAAATCGTTGCCTATTATTTGATAATTGCTTTGATTTAATAGCAGAAGTTGAATTCGTCCTAAATGTAATATTAGCTTTAGATTTGGATCTAGACTTAGATCTTAGATTTCTTTTATCGAAGGCTCTGCGTATACATACGTATGCACTTAAGGAGTAAGTTAAATAATTATATTGTTTGCTTTATATGAAGCAATTTTGAGGTTTAAATTTTATTTTGTCGATTGTACTTCATTCTTCTTCTTTTCAGTCAATGGCTAAATTTTATTTTTTTATAGAGCACATTGTTGTTATCTTCTTATTATTTGACTTTCGTATTTTTCATTGGGTGATTTTTAACTGTATCACCATATGTATTTTCCAACAATTTAAAGCATTGTTTATGCCAGTTTTTTCGGTTTTTCCATTTTTCAGTATTTTCATTTATGAGTCAAATGATATGACCCACTAGGTAGTTAATGCTGCTAATTATTGTACGACATATTTTAGACAAATAAAGTTGTGCAATCCGTCCAAATCTTTAAAATTTTGATAATAAAATAATGGTGTTTGAATAATCTGACGCGTGTTATAGCCAACAATACAATAATTGTCACTGTTATGTGTTGGCAACTGTGTTGTAGGTGTTGATTTGGACCATTTGATTGAACATTAAGCTTTAAATGCATCATTAATTTAATACGTCTACAATAGACGCCTCTCGACCTAAATCTGTAATTAGATATTTAGTGGGCTACATGTCATTTCAGTTGACTGGCATTTGTGCTTAAATGTGTGTGTCTGCACGGAATAGTCGGTAATGTGAGAAGAACAACAAGACCATAATGCCTAAACCGCAAAGCAGATGGCATTAAGTTTATTTGTGTGTGACAGCGAAATTTTCTGTTATAATTATAATTAAGATCCTCCATATGTATAAGACAATAGGAATTAAATTTGTCTAACCACTACTTTATATCGGGTGAGCTACATAATTCGTGATCGTAGTTGGCTATGTTTTAGAAAACGGATATCGGTATTTATTAAACTCTTGACGTATTTCTCTCTAGCTGACAAACAATTGTAGGTAAATGTTAAGACTTTGACAACTTAATGACTTTTTCACAGTCGTATCGAACAAGTGTAGATTGAAGTTAAAATAGTCTAAATAAAAGCCTGGTCAAAAGTGTTACGTCACCAGATTCTTTTTTTTCGCATGTCGTTTCTGAAATGAACTTTGAAAGCTGTGATTCATTTCATCAACTCATGTGAATTTATAACCTTTAAAATCAGTTTGACATCGAAATGACAACTATCTCGAACAGGATGACAAACACTACGACATACGGAAAAAAATACAATAAATTAGAAGGCAGATCAGATTTTTTATTAGACATCTGGAAATCAAGATGACAATCTGAATTTGTATCGATATGCGATTGATTTTGTATTGAATTTGACACAACGTAAAAGTGAGATTGTACGGGATTTATGTGAGACTAACTCGCATCCAAATTTTATATACCTACTTTTAAATTAAGTAAAATTTTGGTTTTTCAGACGCCGGTACCGGTGTGAATGTTCCTCGCGCTAGTGCAAATTACTTCAAAAATTAGACAAATTTCAAACTCGTTCCTCCAAAACAAAAAGGATTCACGAGATTTTTCAAATCATTTAAAAAACACAAGGGGTTCTCAAGATTCCTTCAAACTACGTCAAAAACTAGGCACAAGGGATCCCCGAGATTCTTTCAAACTACTTCAAAACTAGAACAAAATGGGTTCCCGAGATTCTTTCAAACTACTCCGAAAACCAAACACAAGAGATCCCCGAGATTCTTTCGAACAACTTCAAAAACCAAATGCGAGGGATCACCCAGATTCTTTCAAACTATTTCAAAAACCAAACCAAAGTGATCCCCGAAATTCTCAAACTACTTCAAAAACCAGGCACAAGGGGTTCCCGCTATTCTCTCAAACTACTTTAGAACCAAAACAAAAGTGATCTCCGGGATTCTTTCTAACTATTTAAAACAGCAGATACAAGGGGTCCTCGAGATTCTGTCGAACTACTTCAAAAACCAGACACAAGGAGTCCTCGAAATTCTTTGTGAAACTACTTCAAAAATAAAACAAATGGGGTCCCGAAATTCTTTCTAATTACTTCAAAGACAAAACACAAGGAGTCCCCGAGATTCTTTTAAACTACTTCAAAAATCAGACACACGGGTCCTCGAGTTAAATGATAAATGAAGTAAAATTTCGGCCCTTCAGGCGCCAGTCAAAAATTTTTCCCAAGCTGGTCCATCAGGTCCCATCCGTGCTTGGATCGCAACTTGATGAATAAATACAGCACTTCTAAAATGCTTATTTCTACTACTTTTAGTCAGAATTTTTGTGCTCAGTAATTTTAATTGAGAATATACGTCACAGTTTACAAATACAAAGAAAATTATTTTGGATAAATCAAATTACAACTTTTCCGAAACACATGAACATCCAGAAAAAAATTGAACTAAAATAGCAATTACAAAACAAGTTATCATTTGTTCTACATTTCGCTGAACTTGAAGTTATTTGAATTTGCGAGAGATGTAAGATTCTACAAATTTATCTGAACAATACCATTGAATTAAACAACAGAGCAACAAATTTGATATGTTTTAGTACTGTTTGAACCAAAGTGACTACCCGAGTTGTCTATGTGGTGTCACTAAACGTCGGTTTTGGATTTCTTGTTTACCGTACACACAAATACATTTGAGATTCTTTACAATAGATGATGATCATCGGGCAAGTTGGAGAATGAAGAAAGAAATTGCATGAAGTTCTTATATTTAATGTACTTCTAACGGTAAAATTGTTTCTTTATTTCATGCAATCTTTAAAAATTTTGCATTTTTATTTTATTCTTTCATTTGTGTATTTTATTAATGTTAAGGCCCCAATTTTTAACACATTATTATATGTCATTCTAGAATACTTTGGCCATGTTTTAGATGCTGTTTAAATAATTATATTTATATTATAACGATGTAAAATAAATGTTAATTTACAATATTCGATAAAAATTTACTTATTTGGACTGGATCGTTTTTTTTAAGTTATTGTTTACTTTTCATAACCTTTGTATTTGATATTCAAAATTTAATTTGAACATTGATTAGTTTTGAAAGGAAAGACTGAAAGTTATCATCAGTTAAATTAGTATCATTATGGGTTCGAAACGTGGAGGAATATTTCGTGCTTATTTTGTGGTATCAATTAGATGTTCTATGACTTGAATGTTGAATGTATTCTCGGATACTCCTCTCACAGTGGTGTGTGTACCAAAACCATGTTATCGTGCTTTCGAGCACAGTTAATAAGTAAGTTTATTATATCATACGGGGATTCGATTCACGGTGGAATCTTCATGAACTTAATTTGGTTTAACCAGTAACTTAAGTTCTTTTTTGTGTAAAATTTTTAATAAATGTGGCTTAATTAAATGTCGTTATTTTTTTTGTCATTTTAGTGCTTGCTTAATTACTATTCTAATTTCCAAGAATATTAGACTTAAAATGCACCCACCCTAGTCTAAAGGTGATAATTTTCCTCTCATTGTCATTGTTCACCTAAATGTTTATTCGCAATACCGGATTCCTCGAGCAGAAATCAGGCATCTTCTGTTTGTCTCCTTATGAGACCTCTAGATATCGCGTAAGTACCTATATCGGGGTGGTTTGTATGGAGCTATGGTAAATAGGTACGAAGAAACAGAAAGACGAGGTTTGTTTTTAACAGCCCTTGGATTAAATTATTAAAGATGTTCCCTCCATGTTTTTGCATTCTAATTACGCATTTGAACGCATACCGCCATTTTAAAACACAACAGCTCTATTTTGATGACGATCACAGTTCATAGTTACTTTTTAAAGTTTTCGCGGGTTTTTAAATTTTTGTACATATCTCAATTTTGGTGGGGTGTTTGGGATATCACAAAATCTACATATATTTGAATCAAACGTTTTTTAATACTTTACTTTTAATGTTGAAGGATAATAATAACAATAGGTTTAATAGCATACTATACCATACCATACGGAGTTTGGCTTAATTTGACGTAAATCACTGTTGACATAACCCTTAACTAATCACATTTTGTCGCTGAATATCGACAAATCAATTATGATAATATAAATACATGGATCTCTGCTGCACCTGGTTAATTTTGATACCGACAGGTGGATACAGAATGATATGAAATAAAATAAACGGAATATGAATATTTCTTTATAACTAGATTATTATATTCTTTCATAAGTATTTTATGTATCACTAGTCCTATTGGTCGAGTATATATAAGTTTTCAAGATGGCAGTGGTAGAGGGAAATTGGAGCAACAGGGTAGTCTTTGTTGGATGAATAGTTACTTGTTTCACATTTTTATCCAGGTAATGTTCTTTGGGAGGGTATGAAAGGAGATTGTTTTCAACGGATTTTTGTTAGTGGATAATTTAGTGCCCATTTTTGTTCAAAGTCTTCAGACATCCCTGACGAAAGATGTGAAGCAATTTTTTTCTTCGGTTACGACTATAGTTGTAAAATGAAAGCTTTACTATTTTATAACAAATATTGGTGAAGAAGGAAAACCAATAAAACTCTAAAATTAAGTAGGCATGTTTATTTTACAATCACAAAGTTTTATAAATATTGCTGTTCGTTAAGATTTAAAAAAATTTATACACAGTAGTAACAGTGTTTTCTAGAATAGAAAACGTCGTAAAATTCTATATGTACAAGTTGAGCTAATATCTATCATCCTTTATAACAGATCACTCATTCGTTCTACAAACTGATAAAAGACACAACTGACACAAATCATGCAAATGAAATTGGAAGATAACATAATCGACGGTTTAACTAAGTATACAAGTATACGAAAATATACACGTAAAAAAGAAATATACAAATATACACGTAATTACAAACGAGAAACTAAAAAAAATGAGCAAATATAATAAAGCAACATATTGCATACGTTTTAAGTACAAGGAATAGATAAATTGCACTTAACAATAAGCAAATGCAATATAGTACGGTACAAAATGTTAGTTAAGTTGGATGCGTCGTTGAATTCACTTAAAAATATACATTTGTTTATAGTTAATATACAAAAAATATCTTTGGTATACTTATCTAAAATTTCCATTCATAACAAATTTATTCCTTTCAATAGTTTTATCAACAATTTCATCTCTCGCCATTAAAAGCTGAGCTACTTCACAAGTTCTGCGAAATGATGGAAATAAATAAATTCTCCTAATAAGTAACAAAATCTGGAATGAAAGTAAAAAAAGAACACAGACATGTTTTACATATTATCTGGAAGCGCATAGATGATTAAATATTTTCTTCACACCGGCAGGTTTTACTTTTTCCAACAATAAAAATTGTCTAGACAACGAAATTTTGAAGTTAGCGTTAACACTGAATCGTAGAAATTTTGAAATGGATTTCAAGAATTGACATCTTAAAAATTGCGTCTGATCGACTCCTGATATGTACACTAATCTATATAATATGAAAACCTGTCTCAATATCCAAATACAAGTAATAAAAAATATCAGCTTTCCGTATTGCACGCATAATTGCATATTTTCCCGATTTCATTGCTTTTGATATCAATATGATATGTGTCTGTTCTCGTCGTCACTTGTATTTGCAGCTGGGGTGAGAGCCAGGTTCGTAGTATAAACTGTACGTTCTGATTAAGTTTTAATCAATAATTCGGTCAATTAATTTAATTGTCTAGATAATGTACATCAATTTCGGCGTAAAAATTCCTACCAAAAACGAGTAGTAGTGAAAAAAATTTCGATTGATACAGTATTCAGTCTTCTCTTTTACAATTGAAACTTAGTAACCACTAGAGTCCCGCGCACACTATACGTGCGTCGCCATAGTGCCTCTCTTTATCGTCGCCATATTGGAATTTGGAACTATATACTGACTCGTTGGCGAATTCGGCAGCCGCGTCACCTGCGGCACCGATCCGTTAGCACCGTTCGCAACCACTGTATTCGCTACATTAGCACTAGCAGTCATCATTGCACTAGAACTAGCTATCCGCGAGTTGTCCCTCGAGTACGGGGGCGGCGCGGGGGTGGCCGCGGGGTTGGCCGTGTTGGGCGTGGGCAGCCCCACGTTGGGGTTCCTCAGGTGGGGGTTCCCGTACGTGGCACTGAACCTCGGGTCTATGTAACCCATGCCCGGCAGACCCCCGTTGGGGATGCTCTGGGCCGCCCCCATGTGGATGTCGGACAGGTCGCTCAGGGGCAGGTTCTGGCTCGACACCGGGATCTGGTGCGACTGCAGCGAGTTGAGCTGAAGACGCGTCGACTGGAGGCTCTCCCGACCGGGGTCCAACGATGACGAAATGGGAGGCTGCATCATTGGGGGGTTGTAGTCGCGGGAGTAGTCGACGTATGGCACGTATCCGTTGTTGTTTTGGCCGTCCTACAAAACAACAAATGGTAACAATGGAACTCAAAAAGTTGATGTGTTTGTTACCTTTGGCGGGAAGCTGGGTTCGGTGTAATCAGCAGAGTACCTATAGATTTCTTGCCCTGAAACATTGACGGGGCCAGCTAAAGGTACACCGATTCGCGTTATAACAGACTCACTTCCTGTTTCGGATTCGGCCCCTGGAATATAATCCATATCACAATGTACGTTACTATTCGAAGATCCGGTCCTGAGATCGAGTTTCAAGTCGGAGATATTGGAACTACGGTCGGATTCTTTGCATTGCTTTTCTATAGTGTTTGCATCAGCTGGAAAGATGCAGATCAGTTAACTTTAGAAGCAGAGATTGGGTATCAGATGATTACAGGGACTGTCATAAGGAAGCCACTTGTGTCTAGTGCACTACTCAGTCCTGTACGTTTAACGAATTCAAAATCAATTCAAACGAAGGATCTTCACAACAATTTAACTAGTCATCCCATATCATTTATTGTAATACGGTATAACATTCAATGTTTAAGCTTTAGTTGGTCATTGATAATGTTCCACACGTAGTTAGATACTAATAATATTATTATTATTTAAAACAAGAACGTGTCACAGATCACAGTCATTTTCAAAATCAAACAAACTTAGTGACAAAGTAGATTCGCAACAATAGCCTACACTTCGTTCGTCAAAATTTTGGAGCTTTAACCACTACATTTAAGTGTCAAAATAGAATGTCACGTGCTATTAGCATGTTCGTAGTGTAAAAAAATGACAAAACTAAAAATATAAGGTTACAATATTTAAAGGTATTTCACACTTTGTGACAGTGGGATAACATTGATGTCCACGATTTTTTAGCCGCGATTATATGACAGTTGACTTTTTGTCTGCTGAATTGAAAATCCAGTTAATAATCTTTCTACAACCATAATCATCATAAGGTTTAAATTACCAGTTAACACACTCATAAAACAGAAACTAACAATGCCTCCTAATGAGTTGTAGGAGGAGGTAGTGCAAGATCGGATAGTCCCATTATTTCCTAGATTAAGGCAGTCGATGATACTTCAGTGTACTGGTCATTTGTGTCCCCTTAGAAATATATAGCGTGCCATTGTTGAAATTTCTAATCTAAGTAGGCAGGTAATATAGGCACGTATGTGTATGCGGGTGAATACGTTGAAAATTGGTCTTATCAACGACACGACTTTTTTCCCAAAATCTACCTAGATTAGAAATTTAAAGAATCGCACGTTACACAATTGTATATAAGTGTGAAAAAAAATGGCCGCTTGAAATATGTTTTAAGCATACTGAAGACAATTTTAAGCTTTACACACGTAATTTGTCAATATTATAGTCTGACTTTGCTTCTAAAATGTAGAACAACATGAAGTACCAAAAAGCCTTTTGACCCTACATCATTTAAGACAACGTCTTTATAAGTTTAATTAACAAAATATATTCTTCAAACCTACAGTGTAACAAATCCGTTAAAGGCCATGAAGAATTTTTTTGAATAATGGATCAAAGCATGCGCTACTGTATTATTAAAAAAAGAATGAACTAAGATTGACAGAAAATCTAAAAATGGTCAGCCTTAAGGCACATTTAGGTGTGAAATTAAATCCTGTCCCATCTCAAATACAACGGATGCACAATTGAAAAAATCGTCAAAGTGGCGTTGCTTTTTGATAGAAGAAAACGTACCGAAAACGCGTGTGTTTTCTTAATCCGTACTGTTGTGTACAATTGACATTTCCGCATTGTCAGTTGTCATCGATTAAATTTTGGGTTTTTTACAGACGTACTTCACAATGTTTATAAAAAACCAAGGCCAATTTGATTTTTCAATTGAACACCCGATACTTGTGTTCGATTTGTAGTTTTATTTTTCTGATTTCTCTTTCATAGTGTCCGAATTGTGTTTACAGGGAATTCTCTTCGCCTCTGAAGTACAACAAGTACCTAATGTAATAATTTCAGGAGATTACGTCAACTGTTTAGTGTGGATGACTATATATTATATATGAAACGCAACAAACTTAAATGAGCTACTTCTGAAATTTCAGAAATTAATTAATGTATTATTATTAATATTTTTACGAAATCGCACGATCAATTCTGAACAGTCAAAGAATAAGAAGTCATCAGTTTTTTCTGGGCATAGACATATTAAATTTGGTAGTACTCAAAAAGTATAACTATGACACATTCTTATAATTTATAAAAAAAATTAGGAAACTCGATTTTGAAATAACTGACAGAACAAATCTTTCGGAAAAGTAAAATATAATATTGGAACTATTTAAAATGTAACAATTTTTTCATTCGTTGTTCCGTTAATTTAAAGTTTCAAATCAAAACTTAATTTATTTATTTTTTTGTTTGATAGCTAGGTTTTATAGTTTACAGTTAAATAAGAACTGAAAATGGTAAAGATTAATTGACACATCTGAAAAATTCAGCGTAGGCAACTAAATTTCAGGTTGATAACCTCCCGATTTTTTTGTTGTTTGTTGTTTCCAGTGTAGAGTTGGAAAATTAAACACTTTAACCATATTGAGTATAATATCTCATTTTAACACGAAACTTGTGCCTTCCCTTCCTCATATATCTCGGATAATATAAAATATCTCAATTTTCCAACAAACTTTTTTTCATTTACATAACCGAATCGCTGCTACAATGAAACCCGCCCCGAGCGTTCGCCCGATTGCGATTTTCCAAAAGCAATAGTTGCGAGTTAGTTTAGATGACAAATTTGCAGAAAAAATTCAATTCAAACTGCGAAATATATTTGACGATACGTAAAAAAGTTATCTGTTTTTCAATAACATTTACTTTAAAGCTGGCGTGTCGGAAAATACGAAACAACGAATGCGATTCTAGCTATTACTTAAAACCGCGTGCAAGTTGTATTTGAAATGAAACTTTTCTAAAGTTAAGTTAAAAACGATTTAGCAGCGAATCGTTAGGAAATGGTCAAGAGAAGGTCAGCATGCATTTTTAACCGATTTTGCAGCGGTATTTTTACTTTTCCGTATAAATTAATTGACTAGGGAACGTGTAATTGAGCTGAAAGTTTAATTTGACGTTAAATTTCGTAATGTGAAGCTCCATTATTGAGGAGTTAGTTTTCCGACTACATACAAACTCCGGGTGAGATTCAGAAAAGTTTGTATTTTCACACTTCAGTTCAGTGAAAAATGAGTTTTTTTGCTCCGAATTTCGGTTAGGTCCCAACATTCAACATCACATAAATTCATTATGAAACAGTTCCTGCTACCATTTAAGTCGACGCATAACCAATACTCACTCTCTGGTGGCGGCTTCTTCTTGTTCTGCTTCTGACACAAGAAAACAACCAGAACCACGATAAATACAAGTATAACTAAAGCTGCGACGCCGACGATTATGATAAGTGATGGGACGCTCTCTGCAAGCAAAGACTCCATTACACAAAAACCCCACCAATAATCACATCCCATACTTTGCTGCATCAAATTTATCTCGACGACGTCGCTTCCATATGGATTACTGACGCTGCAATTATACATTCCAAAGTGTTTCTCCTGAGACTCCCTTATTACCAATGTAGATTTGATGCCCTCGGGCGATGGATCTTCCAGTATCGAGTAATCCTGGTCGCGTAGGTCGACTTCCCTACCGTTGAAGGTCCAAACGATGCGTTCCGGCGGCGGAATCGAGAAAATCGTGCACTCCACACGGACATTATCTCCTTCGATGCCGAACTGGGTCCGATGGCTGACTATAGACGGCGGGCCTTTGAGGTAAATTGTGGCGTCCGCGCCGATTTCCGGAAATCCGGGAACATGGGCCTTGCAAAAATACCTTCCGGCCGTCTCGTGATCGACCCGCAAAGTCAGATTGGGGCTGTTGTGGATGATTCGCTTGTGCTTCTCGTCGTACCACGATATCTCCGGAAAGGGATTACCATCGACGTCACAGGACAGGGTGACGCTGGCTCCAAGGTCGGCCTGGACGGAACGGGGCTTCGTCCGGAATTGCGGACCATCTGAAATTTATAAGCCGTGAGAATTTTGTTGCGGTGTGTGGAGGAAATTGTGCATGCTTGGTTACAAGCGAATGTATAAATTTATAGAAGTTTTATTGCGGTGACCAGGTTCGAAATGACTTGAAGCGGATGTCAAAGGAGAATGGATTAAAATTTGTGGATGCGATTTTGTCCTACATTTTTTTTTAAAGAAATTGCGTAATAGGACACTTGTTTGTCGTAGGAAATGGAAAGATCGCATGTAAATATTCTAGTGGAAGAGAAAACAAAGACTCGCAGTAAATGACTTGTTATTCTACTACCAGGAGTAAATAAAATGAAAATAAAACAGTGATTTAAAAATACTGAGCTTCGTCGACAGAGAGACGATAGTTATAACATTCAGTTAATTAAAACTCAAGATATTATTGAAATGGAAATGTACCATCAAAAGAATATCAGTAAGTAAATCGTTAATCCGTAAAATCATCAATTACAGAAACTCGGTAGAAGCTTAGGAGTCGTCAAACGTAGAACAGAGACATATATACACACGAATATTACCTCATTGTTTGTATATAGCTATGTAAGTACTCAACTTCCGATATTATCACTTTTTTAAGGCAAAGAGAAATTGGACTTTTTTACTGCACACATTTTGCGGAAACATTCCTTTTTCTTAAGGTTACAATTTAATTTACAGAATCCGGGATAGGTTTTTTTCTGTAAATTAAATTGTAGCTCTGAGTAAGAGGAAAGTTCTTTAGAAACGTCGACAATAAAGCACATAATAAAGAAAAAAATTCAATTTCGCTTTATCCGTAAACAGTGTAAAAAAAATAGGAACGTGAACAACACCTTGATTGTGAACTGATTTGATCACAGTCTAGAATTGTAGAAATGCTAACTCACACAAAATAGTCTTCGTCTTATCACGATTTTTGAACTTTTGTTTTTTTTACCCATTTTTAATAAACTTCTGAAAAACTCAATATACCAACCACTAACTAAAAATATATTTGAAATTGTCAGTATCGATAACATTTGTTTTTCTCAAGATGAACAAAATGGGTTATGTTAGGTATTATGAATGACTGCAATGTATTAAAAATTTGACTGTTGACGTGAGTAAATTATTTTGTTCCAAACAAGAAAGTTTAATTTAAATGTTAATCGTGTCAAAACTAAGCAGTTGTAGCTCCGGTAGTAAAGTAGAAATGTTTTGACAAGAACAGATCAATAAAACGTCGCAGTAGACATAAAAGCCTCCGGACAAGTCCATTTGCGAATTTAGGGGAAGGAAACTGTACTGGTGGTACCTCGTGGTTTAGTCTAACAGTAATCCCTGATCCACAGAAAATACAGTTCCTTACAAAGAAAATCACAATGACTTAAATCATTAAAATATTTACACCAATCCTCACAGTGCCAAAACTTTGCTTCATCAGATTAATTTGTTTGAATTTTGAATTTGGGGTTCAATTAATGATTTTATTTGGTTGTCTAGTAAGTATATTTCAAAACTCAAAACATTCGTTGTAAAGCAAATTTTCATAAACTACTAATAAAAAAATACAAAAATGTACTTACAACTAATATCTAAGGTCTCACTTTCTTCGCTTTTTCCAACCGCATTATGTACTTCGCATTTGACGATAGCATCGTGATATTTCCTGGTTGCATTGTGTATCACCATTTCGGTCGTGTAGCCTCCAACTGACGGCTCATCGTTCACGAACCACCTATAGGTGACGTCCGCAGGGTTGGCATCGGCGTGACACCCAAGGCTGACCTCCGCCCCTTCAGGAATCCGCCCGTTTGGGGAAGCTCCAGATAAAATAGAAACCGTCACCTTCGGTGCATACTTCACCTGCCAAAAAAAGATAAAGTTTACAGATGTTTTAATTCTCTGGACAAAGAATATAGTTACTAGAGCAGAAATTTAAAAAATCACACGGTATAATGTAAGAATAGAAAACTAGAAGATACAAGGAAGCGATAACTTGTCCTCTGCTTTTCTGTTTATTAGAATCTGAAATTTACATTTCAAGTTCGTTTAGAAATAAAAAATCTAGTTCAGCGTACTTTCCCTAGAAGCAGACACCCGGCCATATACATAATATCCATAAACGCGAAATATGTGAGTTCCTCCCGCCGCCACCTCCCACGGAAGCCCCATTTAAAAACCCCACCCATCCATCACCACACCAAGTTCGTAAACCCTACTGACCTCCAGCTTCAATTTAGCCGATCTGTGCGTCCTCTCCGCCGTGTTCTGGGCCTGGCAAGTGAACGTGGTGTTGTGGTGGTCTTTCCTGGGCGTCAGTTTCAATATCGACTTGGCGGTGAATCTCCTCCCGTCCGACAGTTCCTCCACGATATATTCAATTCCGTCTGTTAGGACGTTTCCCAGGCCATCAATCCACGTTATTTCCGCCGCCGGCTTGCCGCCGTGACTTATGCACTCCAGTTCTATTTCCCTGTCTTCCGTCGTGACCAGGTAATCCCCCTGCACGATCTTGGGCGGGTCGGGCGGCACGAGCACCGTCACCGTGGCGAAGTGGCTGCGAATGCCGGGCTGGCCCTGGGGACCGGGCGACACTTGGCATTGGTACTTGGCGTCGTCGTCCAACATCACAGGGTAGATGTCCAGGGAATAGTCGCCTAAACAAAATCAAAAACTACTTCAGACAATCGAATGGTAAAAGACTGACGGGGACGGGAATTGAATAAGCTTAATTTAGACAGGCTGAGAGAATTCCGATGGGGTACGGTGCTCGGGTTAATTTGGAAGTCGTTGCGAAGTTTCTAGACGGGCCAGTGGCGCAGCGGGCTGAAGGTTCGAGCTAAAAATCCCAGACTCTCTAGTTTTAATACTCGGGAGAACAGGCGGATTTGCGTAGAAGTTCGATGCAAAATCAATCGAACCGCGAAGTGAGGTGTGAAACGAACACGAAATAACGGAAAAGTTAAGACATTGTCAAACATAGTTAAAAATTTAAATGTATAAAACTGGCAATATCGTTACCCTAGTTGTCCAAAATTGGTTTAATTTGTATTATTTCATTAAGTTATTTATATAATACGTATATTATCAAAAATGGGGTTGCTACAGTTTGGAGACGACAGTAGCGACAGAATAATAATAATAATCATAATTATTATTGTCCTATCATTACTTGGTCTTAGTCGGGCCGGTCATTTCCGAATCAGTGGTGGGTCTTAAAATAATAAAATTTTTCACATAGATACTTTGAGAATAAAAAGCCTTATCAATGGGTCGTTTATGAATCTAGGAAAGGCAATGTAAAACTTGACGGGTTTAACAGAAAATTGTAGGTTGTCATGCATGTGACAACATTTTCAGGAGTTACGTATGCGATTGAACTTCGATTTTTGTCAATCCGGTGTATTTAACATTGTAAAATGTTGCTATTTAGTCGCGTTTGTGTTTTTGATTGTCCTCCACGTTAACGATGGTGACGTGTCGCTGTCCAGGGTAAATATGGCGCCGCGAGTGTCCCAATAAAAACGGTCCAAGTGATTGGCGCACCTACAACACGTAACGAGTTCATAAAAGGAGAGGCTTTATTACGGTCCTGCGAAAACGTTTTGTTCTACTGGGAATTCTAAAGGTTAATGCTTACCTACGTTTTAAGGGAAAGGTCTACAATTTTCTACAAATTGCTAAAAAGACACTGATATTAACTCTTTCCACTTCTTTTATGAGATACTGTTTTTTTACGGCCTCACGGATATTATGTTTTATCATTATTGGCCGGAGACACTAACACATTTTTATCTTTTGCAGAGAGAATCGTCGCCTATAAAAGATTCCCCCGTTGACCAATCAGACCCAAATGGTGTTTATTAAAATCCCCTGTTTAGACCAGCCTGCGTCGACCATTAAATCTGCACGTTTTCTTTTTACAGCCACCGCTGGAAGTGAACATGGCTATTAAGAAACTTTCAGAAATTTACCACAACTACGAGCTCTATCATACTGGCGGAGGAAGATGTAACACAAGTATAGGATATTTTCGATTCTCGCCCAGTCTTTAGCGGAACTTTACGATTTTTGTACAATAAGTAATGTTGCAATTGCACGCGTCATGACCAACTAGAGCAGAAATTTAAAAAATCACACCGTACTTTGCATCGGAAAATTCTGAAGCTTTCGAATGCAAGATCAATACTGCTGGTTTGATATTTATGATATGAATTTAAAACCATGGCCACCACATTCAAGTTAAAAATATCCCTACAAAAGTATTCGTTAAATTATTAATTGCATCACGAACTTGAATCTGACTGGCTTCGTTGAATTTGAATTCACCTGTAGTAACTACATAAGTTGTTAATATATTCCAAGTTCGATCTAAATTTGACTTTGGTATGAGCCCTTTGGTGGTCAAAGTCGACAGTGTGTTTTTTCTAGTTCTTGGGCGTGGTTGACTTTTTTGCTCACCAAGTTATCGCATTTTCCAAAGTCGCGAGAAATAATTTCAGTTTCGTGCAAAACTCCTAATTTAATTTTCATTCGTTTCTCCAGCGTGACAAGCGCCTCTTGAAGATACATGACATTTAAATAAGATACCGAACTCTGGCATCCCACACAAGAAAGTTGGGAATTTTTATGCACCAGATGGCGTCTCCTCCCCGAAGTTCTCTTTAAGAAACACTTCGCAGCAGATTCTCCAGATCGCCGTAGGTGTGCTAACTTTTCGTCCACAGTTCGTGATTTCGTTTGTGAGTAGTGTTTTCCATGAAAGGCGTTCCATGACGGCGATATTTCGTCCGCACCAACTTCGGTTACATATATCAAAGAGCCTGCGGGAAAAGGAAGCAACTATCGCGCTCCCGAAGGAGATATTACTTGAGTGTCCGGATCATACATACAGGGAACAACACGCCGGAGTCCTGCCTCGGCATAACCTATGACATAACAAGCAGCAGCGCTCCAGTAGACTGTCCTGTGCAGATAACGGCCCTTACGGACCACTCGGACAATTATGTCGTAAAAAATAACAGCACCATGGTCTTGGCGGGTCAAATGATCGTTGTTATCCCAATTTGCGCCGAATTTACGGCACAACTTGATGAGTATTGGAGAATGGCTACATCCACTAGCTGAATTATGACGGTCTGATCGCGTTATCTCACGAGTAACTATATTAAGCAGACCTTAGCAACTTTAATGGAGAAATTTTATTACGGCTTAAGTACACGCGAAGAATGTCGTTCATCTGTGTAAGTGCTCGAATAAGTTTAATGGCGAAAGTAAGGCACGTCGCGGGGCTATATCGCGATAAGCTAGAGGCGGGTAGACAGAGAGGGCTGAACCGAAAAATTTACAGTCGGGGCGATGATGTGAGGCATTGACCGGAGATAATAAACGAGTTATTAATGCCATGCGACCCTTGCCACCAAATAATAACACTTATTACCACACTAGCAGACATAACAGGGACCGGTCATCATTATATATACACACACAACTGCATTTGCCAAATATATCCAATTATAGATGCAAGAACACTCAAAAACAAAAATACGGTTTGGTTATTATGGTTTTACCGATGCGCTACTAACACGAGCGCTCTGCGGCTTTTCTGCTCCAAGAACCACGTTAAGCTTGCACTCGACCACATTTCAGCTATCTTTTTTCGGTATTATCCTTGGAAAAACGGGTTTTTAAAAGAAAACACGTCAAGCATTTACGGAGACAACAGATCGACAAGATCACAATTTTGATGTCATAAGTTTGAAAACAGTTACACAAAAATAAAATTATGTGTTTCACAGATATTAAGTGAACTTAGCACAGCTTATTATACAAAAAAAAAAATACATCATTCTTCAATCATAAAATACCTAGTATCAAGATCCTAATAAATGCGAATATTAAGTATATACAGTAATAACTAAGTAGAAGTCTAAGAAGATCTGATCATGTATTTGGGTTTTTCTGGTATTTTCCAGAGTAAATGTACATGAAAATTGGTTTGTTGCAGATTATAATATATAATGTCGATTGAGCATACAGTATTAAGTTATTGTTTTGTCTTGAAATAAAAAAAATAATTTAAAATTGTAGATAACATGTGAGCACAATAAATTTCCAAATATCACAACATGTCATAAATGGAAGCCTCAAAATCTCCACGAATCAAAACTCGCAAATTTCCTTGAAACAATCTCTTGTCGGAACCTCAAAGAAAAATGAACAGCCGGTATTTAATTAAAATTTATGTAAATCGATGCTTACTGCCAATATTTCCCTTCAAAAGTTGCAAGACCCTTGTGTCAAAGCGTATTTAGAAAAACATTCAAAAAATGTTATATGGGACAAAAATACGCTGAGAAAAAATTATGTACACAGAGACTATTTCTAGTATTAAAGAAATTGTATAAAACCAATTTATACATTTTGTAGTGGACGAAACTTCTGATGCTTGAGGGCGTTACCTTGCCAATCTAATAAATCCACTCTTTAGTAATAAGTAGTAACCAACGTGGTTTATACACCTGTTTCTTCATCGAACCGACATAATACAGTAGATAATCTATGTAAGTACAAGTTAGTCCGTGACCTGTTTAAGGTCGTTAACTGTAAACTTGCTTCCTACTTCATATACATACTTTACGAACTGTATTGCCCATACATTTTCAATGGGATTAAGATCAGGAGTTTTTGCAAGTCGTGGTAATAATTTTACATTTTCATTGTAGCCGTTTCTTGGACAGAAATCGATTTTACTATATCTTATTTCCGACAGAATAGGCGACTAGGCGTCCCTTACGATTTATAAGTTGAAAACAGTGGTGAAAACCGCTGTCCGAAATTTGCATAAATTTGCAGACATTGGTTTTAAAAGATTCGTAACGAAAATTTTCAGAACGTTATTAAAAAAGCTAGGTTAATTTACCTCCCTATAAAAATGTAGGCATACAAAATACTCAAAAATTATATCGTGATAATTTTTTGTGCCTCACCTTATATCTCAATGAGCACAACAAAAACAATGAATAAGATAAATACATAACAATTTAAAGTTAAAAAAATCAATAGAACAAAAATCTAGGAAGCTCATCAATACTAGGACTGCAGAACATGCCATTTAAAAAATAATCAATAATTCCAAATTAAAATGAAGCGAGTTTTTCCATGTGACATGTCAATTTTTAGGTTATTCTCGAGTGGATCGAGCTGGAAAGTTATTTTCCACTAGCTGTATTTTTTCGATTGAATTTTAAATACACTTAAAGACGAAACCTGCACTTGTGAAAGTGACTATGTTGTGTGTGCTACTTTAGACACAGCCACAACTCCAAATTGCTCCAAACCATATTTCAATACGACATATTTAACAAACAAGAAAATGAACAAATTGCTGGAAACTAAAACATCAAACCATTAATCGAAATTGAAGCATATTCGTTTCAGGGGAAACTCGGAGGAAAATTCAAGAGTCGCAGCTGTAAATGGAATTCAGGGTACGACACTTAGTGTGGGAATGAGCAACAAAGCAAGCGTATAAAAGCTATAAATAGAGAAAAACAATTACATTCCAGTAATTACAAAGTAAAACACGGAAGAAAATCTGAAGCTGCATTAATTATTAACGTCTCTATTTACATGAGGTTTGTGATGTTGTGTTCAA